TTGGTCAGCCACGCGCAGAAAGGGGGACGGGGGGAGGGGGGAGGGCTTCTTAGGGGCACCCCTGCTTCTGAGAAGGCGCGGGCCTCATCTATGGAGGTAAGACCGGCGCCTTCCGAGAAGCAGGCTGACTTCTTGCGGCCGCGGAAGCGCTCTTCCCTTTTAGATGGCAGGGTGACTTCGTTTTTGTTTCGGTATCGGGGGGCCTTCGCTGGGCCCAGTGAGCGTCAAAAAGCGAGCTAAGAAGCCCTCCCCCCTCCCTCCACCCCCTCGTGTGCGCCGCCAAGTTGAGGGCTTCTGGGACCGCTCGCGGGCCCGGGTGGCCCAGAGACCCATGTGAACACCACGCTCTGGGAGCTCCGCGGCCTGGGCTCTTGGATCGGCGCTGGGCGTCCCCTTTGGCGGAGCCTCGGGCGTCGCCCCTGGTGCTCCGCACGCCCTAGGGCGGGGGAGCCTGGCGGCCTGGCGCCGATCCCCCCCCACAAAACCGCGCGGACCCTCGGAGGCTTCTGCTTCTGCCAGGCTCGCCTCCCCCCGAAGGAGAGGGTCTCCGGAGGAGAGCCCGCCTGAGGGCCCCCAGAAGGGCTACCCAGACGCCTATAGAGGTCCAATGCACTGGCTGTCGCGGGGCGGGGTGTCCTGGAAGTCCCGCCCCGGGACAGTCAGCAGACGGCTCGGGACGAGGAGCTGGTGCAGCGGCGGAAGCGGCGGGGCTTCAAGGGGACTCGGGCGGGTGGCAGTAGGAGGGGAAGCAGATTGGGGATGAAGAGCAGGGCCCTGAAGGGGCCTTTTAGCGCCCTTGTTGGAGTCCTGCTCGGGCCCCAACTGAGGTCCTAAAAGGCCCCTTTTTGTTCACCCCCCATGTAGGCCCCCCCCCATGACCATCCGCCCGATTCGAGGGGGCCTCGCACGGAAACAGTCGTATACGTTGGGCCTCTTGTGGCGGCCTCCAGGGGTCAGGATTGCGCAGGGGAAGGCAGGGCGCGCTTTCTGCGGCCACCTGCAAGTCCCCCACCGCTGCGGGCCCAATCGACGCTGTGGTACAGTCGAAACCGATATTAGTGGCGGAAAACCGGGGGGGGTCACTACCGGTTCGAACCCCTCCCCCCCCCTCCGGAATACCGGGGGGGTCACTACCGGTTCAAACCCCTCCCCCTCCCCCAGTCCATCAAGAAAAGGGGTGGGGGTCACTACTGGTTCGAACCCCACCCCCTCCCCTCGGGAAAACCGGGTGGGGTCACCACCAGTTCGAACACCCAAGCCCCCTCGAAAACCGGGGGGGTCATTACCGGTTCGACCCCCCCCCCCTTCGCCGCCGGGCCCGGGAGAGTGGGAACATTATTGACACACTGCTGGGGGCACTGGTGGGGACAGCGGGGACAATGGTGGGAACAGTGGGGACAGTGGGACACTGGTGGGGACGGTGGTGGACAATGGTGGGAACAGTGGGGACAGTGGGACAGTGGTGGGGACGGTGGTGGTGGGGACAGTGGTGTGGGGACAGTGGAATGTGGGTGAAACAGTGGGACAGTGGAGGGTGCAGTGGTGGTAGGGACAGTGGTGAGGGCGGTGGCGAGGACGGCGGTGGGACAATGGGACAGAGGTACAGCGTGGACAGTTGTGGGGACAGTGGGGAGAGTGGTGGGAACAGTGGGACAGCTCAGTGGGACAGCGGAGGAGACAGTGGGACAGTGTGGACTGGGGACAGTCGGGCAGTTGTTGGGGCCGTGGAGAAAGTACATAGGGGAGAGTGGAACCGTGGTGGGAACAGTGGTGGGGACAGTGGGGACAGTGCGACAGTGGTGGGGGCACTGGTATTAAGGACTGGTATCCTTTCCAAAGTTACCCTTGCATCATTGCCTCCTCGGTCCATCCGTGATCCCTTCCGATGGCCAGTTAAGGATCCTCATCGCGCATCCCTACTATCAGTTATTCCCCCATTTGGTTTGCCAAATGGGGTTCTTACTTGTTAAACGTGCCTTCTCTTGCTACTTTGCCCGTTGCCTGGAGGTTCCCTGTGTTCCCCGGTTTCCTCGGGTTCCCCGCCCCGAGTACCTCCTACTGTTACGCGTTGCCCGATGCCCGGGGGTTCCCCGGGTTCCCCGCCGCCGGTGCCTCATGCCGAGCAATGCGAAGCAATGTCAAGTAGTGCCAAGCAATGCCGAGCAATGCTAAGCCCCGGGTTCCCCGCCCCTGGTGCCTCATGCCAAGCAATGCCAAGCAATGCTGAGCAATGCCAAAATGCTAAGCACTGAAGCTTTCCCCTACTTGGGGTCGCGCCAGGTTCATGACTGTATCGGGCACTCCCGCTGGGGTTCGGTTCTCATGACTGCAGCCATCTCTCATACTCTGAGCCACCGCCTGTGTTTCAGAAATCTTTCCTGCAGAGGTTGTCCAGACAGGTCCAGGAATTGGATGATTCTCTTCAGACCGTCCTGAAACGCTCTGACAGCGTTCTGGAACGCTGTGGAGCGGCCGTGACGCTCCATACATCGGGATGCGCACAGACAGGCCCCCCAGGTACAGTCGCACCGCATGAAAACAATCTCCTATGTTCTTCTGGGTGCCATGGGTTTCTTTGGCTTGTGTTCGGCGTGGAAGGTGGTGGTAGAACTCTAGAGAAACTTGCGAATGGCAAGGTATCCTGGGTTTCGTGGGTGTCGGCGCGTGGGTTTCTTAATGTCATATTGTTCTGCGCCTGCGATCAGACACCGCTCGGGTCAGTGTGCCCCATGTTTCTTCGTTTGCATCAAAAGTGGCAGAATCCAAGCCCTAGACGGCGGATTGCAGGGTTGGGCTTCTTGCGCTGGGCTTCTTTCGGATTAACATCCATCGTCGTCTCAGCTGGCCTCAACAGGCCCCCCGAGTAGTCCCAGCTGACCTGAATAGCCCCACCGAGTAGTCCGCGGCGCTCTCAACACCTCAGCCCCTAGGCGCGGAGTGCCCCAAGGCCCTCGCGAGAGGCGGCGCCGTGTTGAGACCGCGCTGGACTCATCGGGGAGCCTGTTGAGGGTTGCGGCCAGCTGGGACAACTCGGGGGGGCCTGTTGAGGCCGGCCGAGACTACCTGCGGGGATTGTCTGTGTGCAGCCCGGATCGGAGGGTTCCAGAAGGGTGCGTTGGACCAGGTTGGTTGCGCTAGCAGACCCGAGGCCCCCGACTTGAAGCCCACCAGCTCGACCTGCGGCGCCCAAGCAGCCGTCGACATCACCCTTCTTGAGCCAGACCTTCTTGCCGTTCCCGACCTAAGCCTTGCCAAGGACCGCCAGCTGTCAGAGATCCTCGAGTTGTCCCCGTCCGACCGTGTCCCTCTCCTGGCTTTGCCCTAGCCAGGTCGGCGCCTGGCTGCCTGCGTTTCCCTCGGGGGGCCCGCCTCCCTCTCGCGGCGAGGAGCGCGCTGTGCGAGAGGACCCCGAACGGTGCGCGGCGCGGCTGCCTGCGGGTGTCCTTGTCGCCGTCGGGCCCGGAGGGCGCTGGGCGGAAAACGGATGTTCTTGCTGCCTCCTTCCATCTCCTCCCCCTGCTCGCGCTGCCCAGGCACTGATCTGCACCATCGCTGCGTCCTCTTCCTCCTACGCCTGCCCTCTCCTCCGCTGGCCCCTTTTCTGCTCCTGCTCCTTCCGTGGTTGCTCCTGCTTCCGCCCCTTCCGACTCTTCCCATCTGCCTCCTCATGTTCCTCCTCCCCTTCCTTTTCCCTTCACTATCCCCACACGACAAGACGGGGTTATTGTTTTTACTTAGGCGCCACCTACTCCCTCCTCACACCTTCCTTCTCCTACTCCTCCTCTTCTTTGTTTCCTTTTCCCTCACTTAGACTCACTGGTACGCTTACCACTCGCACGCAGACTCACTAATGCTCAGACCTATTCTCACTCAGACTCACTCGCACTCAGACTCACACATAGTCATAATCACTCACACTCAGACTGAGGCACACTCAGAGAAACTCCCGCTCAGACTCACTGGTGCCCAGACTCACTTACACTCAGACTCACTCACACTTCGACCTAGTCACACTCCGAGTAGCTCACACTCAGTCTCACTCACAATCAGCCTCTCTCGCACTTGGAGACTCCTCTGCACTCAGAGCAGATTGTGAGGGCGTCTCAGCCGACTTGATGGTTTTAGCACCTCGAGGGGGTGCGGCCAGTAGTGGTTTCACGGCCCCGTTCGCGCTCGGATTGTCGAGGACGTCTCGTGCGGTTTGCATGGGGCTACCCTGACCTTCCAGAGTGCTAAAAAAAACACTCCAGACCTGTAGACTTATCTGGACTGTTTAAAACTTCGACTGGAATTTGGGTACTCGAGGTCCAGGTGGTATTTTTTGGCCCTCCTGGAATGTCAGGGCTGCCCAGACTGGTCTGCGTTCAGAGCAAGCTGTGAGGATGTCTCGGCCGACTTGCTGGTTTTCGCGCCCCAGCGGGGTGCGGCCCCGCTCGCGCCCAGACTGCTCGGGGATGTCTCTTGCGGTCTGCCCGTTCGGTTGCGCAGATTCCTTCGCTTTGAGATCAGACTGTGAGGACGTCGCAGGCGATTCGCTGATTTCAGCATCCAAAGGGGGAGCCGCCAGGGGTGGTTTCCAGCCCCGCTCGCGCCCAGACAGAGTGTTGGATGCCTCGGGTGGTTTGCCTGTTCGGTCGCGCAAATTGTACTTGTCAGATCAGATTGTGTGGACGTTTCAGGCGATCCGCTGGCGTCAGCTTCCCAAGGGGGAACCGCCAGGGGTGGTTTTCCAGCCCCGCTCGCGCCCAGATTGTGGGATGCCATGTCTCAGGCGCTTGGCCTGCTAGGTGGCGCAGATTCCTTTTTCTGCTTTCTCGGCGGAGGTCCCGAGGGCGGCTCCAGCGACGCGGCGGTGCCAGCACCACCAGGGGGCGCTGCCGGGTGGTGCCTCCGCGGCCCCCCTCCGCGCCCGAACGGTGGGAATCGGGCCAGGGGCGCGTGGCCGGCGGCGGCTTCGGGGCCGGAGGGGCGGCGGGCGGGGGGGGGGGGCGGAGCGGCGCATGGCCACCGAGGGCCCGGCCCCGCCGGTGGCGCCGCCGCCGCTCGCGCCGCCGCGCCCTCGGGCCGGCCCGCTGGAGCCGCGCGCGCTGCCCTGGACCGCGGCCGGCAGGGTCTGGCGCTTCGCCGCCGCGCCCGGGCGGGGGCTGGAGCACCTGGCGTGGTGCTCGCGGCGCGTGCAGGCGCACGCGGAGGAGCGGAGGAGGCAAAGGGTGCCGACCCTCGGCGTGAGCGTAGTTTCAGAAGGGGAAAAACACACAGGCACATTTCATCGGCGATTCCCCAGAAGATATGGGAAAATATGGAAATTGTGCGGGAAGACAAAACCCAGAAAATTTAACAAAATATGGGGAATATTTTAATTTGTGTGTATTGGATAGACCTGACGGCCCGTGCCGCCGACCCTGATCGAAAGGGCTAGGAGAGGGGGGAGGAAGCGGAGGATGAGGAGGAGGAGGAGGAGGAGGACGAGGACGAGGAGGAGGAGGAGGAGGAGGGGGGAGGAGGAGGAGGAGGGAGGAGAGGAGGGAGGAGGCAGGAGGAGGGAGGAGGAGGAAGGAGAGGAGGAGAGGAGGAGGAGGAGAGGAGGAGGAGGATGAGGAGGAGGAGGAGGAGGAGGAGGAGGAGGAGGAGGAGGAGGAGGAGGAGGAGGAGGAGGAGGAGGAGGAGGAGGAGGAGAGGAGCCAGGAGGAGGAGGAAGTGCATCCCGTGCGTGCCCGCTCGAGGAAAGTGCGCCCCGGCGGGCGTCGCATCTGCCCCGGCCCCCCCCCCCTCCCCCCCCCCCTGCGGGGAAGGGATCAAAGGGAAGGGGCTTCCCTTCGACTCCACTACGACGTCGTTTAATTTCGCTTTGGATAGCGCGCTTGAAGAGGAGAGCCCTGGGAGGGGGAGAACGGAGACGGCGGAGACGACGAGTCGAAAGGAAAAGCCCCTCACACACGCCGACAGGGTCGGCGGATTTATGTGTTTGTGTCCCAGGGTCCCTTCAGTAGTGTCCCAGAGCTCCGCGGCGCTGAGTTCTCGGGTCGGCGCCGGCCCCCCTGGACGGCGCCTGCGGCGCCGCCCCTGGCTTGTTCCGCGCGCCAGGGAGGGGGGCCCAGCGCCGATCCAAGAAGCCCGCCTGGACCTCAGAGAAATGACGCTCATGATGTGTGTTGTTCTGAGTAGAAGGGGGAGAAAGGCACCTATACCGCTACCCTTCCTCGTCACCACGGTTTGATGCGTCCCGCCATCTTGGTCAGACATGGTTTTACTGCACCCTACGTCGGGGAGGTCCGTGGAGTAGCGGCATGGGTATTTTTTTGGACCCCCCCAGGAGGAGCTCGGCCACCTCGGCGCGATCACGTACCTGGACCATGCCGGGGCGGCGGTGTACAGCGGGGCGCAGGTGTGAGCCTAGGCCTCCCCGATGGGGTCGGAGTAGATGGGGTCGGAGGATCGCGCCGCAGTGCCGATGCATCGCCGATGTGGTTTGATGTGCAGCTCATGTTGCTCATTGCCGATGCCGACGATGCATCGCCGGTGAATTTGCGATGCATCGCCGATTCATCGCCGATGTATCGGTGATGCGGCGCGATCCTCCGATTTCATCTACTCCGACCCCATCTAGGAGGTCTCTAGTTACTCTGGGTGGGATCTTAGTCGGGGAGTGGGCGACCAACCTTCCGACGGAGCTTGCCCTTCCCCCCTCCTCCACCTCTTCCTCCTTCCTCCTCCTCCTCCTCCTCCTCCTGCTCCTCCTCCTCCTCCTCCTCCTCCTCCTCCTCCTCCTCCTCCTCCTCCTCCTCCTCCTCCTCCTCCTCCTCCTCCTCCTCCTCCTCCTCCTCCCCCCCCACTCTTTCTCCTCCTCCTCCTCCTCCTCCTCCTCCTCCTCCTCCTCCAACCGCCCCTCCACCCGTTCCGACAGCACGTGCCCAACCACGCCAGCGGATCCAAGCGGGGGGGGGGGATCAGTGCCCCATCCAGAGCAGATGCCCGTTTTCGATGACCTTCCTGGGGCCCACCCGTCGAGTCTGCTCGACTCCAGCTCGTTTCCGGCCCGACTCGAGCTCGACGCGACGCGACGGGCGCCCGACGCGGGATCGGCGAGTGCGTGGAGCGAGGGAGGGCAACGTTCAGGAGGGGAAAAACACATACAGACACAATTAATCGTCGATTCCCCAGAAAATATTGGAAAGTATGGGCAGTGGGGGGGAAGGCAGAAACCCAGAAAATATGGGAAGATATGGGGGATCCTTTTATGTGTGTATTTATTTGTGTGTCCCAGGGCCCCTTTAAACGTAAACTTTGGGAGGGCCTCGCGGATTTCTCAGGCAGTGGTTAAGCGTCTTGGCTCGCCTGTTGGTCTACCCAAGGATGATCTCATGGCCTCCTTGCTGCCCGCAAGAAATGTTAACACATTTCTGGTTCAGACGGTCTCGTTCAACACATCGACTCATGTTCTAAGAGCGTTGTGTTTGTACAACGGCGGCTCTCCCCCCTGGCCCGAGTCTGTTCGAAGTGAGTACCCAGGCCCCTCCTGGGGTTCATCCTGACCCGTGTTTCGACGCGGATCCAGCCGTGGCGACGAGAAGCCTCCAGGATGCATCAGAAGGTGGACGAGCGAACGGCAGCGAGGGTCGCGGTGGTCTGGCCGTTGCCCCGAACGTTTACGTTCGTGCAGCTCTCAGACGGGCCCCGGGACGAGCACCTCTACGGCGGGGGCGTTCGTGGAGGAGTGTGCCCCGGGCGCCTGCAGACCCCGGAGGCTTCCCTGTCCGACCCAGGCGGAGGTGACCTCCGCGGCCGAGCCACGATCGGGCGATTGGCGTTCCGCCGGCCTCAGACCCCTGGAGTCTTTGCCCAATGGTTCCTCAGCCACTGCCCTCACCCTTAGTGGGCCCTGGAAACGACAGGGCCGTTCTTTTACCAGTCCCGTTTTGCCGTTTTCGTGCCGGTTCCGGTTACCGGTTCCGTCGCCGTTTTTTGACCGGTTCCGGCTCCGGTTCCAATCCTGGAGCCGTTTTTGTTGCCGTTTCTGGTCGCCGTTTTTTTGTCGTTTCCATTTTCAAGGGACACTTTCTCGGAAATGGTGAAAAACGGCCCTGCAGTTTCCGGGGCCCACTAAGCCAGCAGGTGCGGGCGGCGGAGGGGGCGCTGACGGGGGCCCTGCTGGCGAACCCGCACTCCTCGCGGGCCACGGAGGGCGTCCTCGCGCGCGCGCGGGCGGAGGCGCTCGGGCTGCTCGGCGCGTCGCCGGAGACGCACACCCTCGCGTTCACCTCCGGGGCCGGCCACGCCCTGGAGCTCGGAGGAGGAAGAGCTTTTGTACCCATACTCAGAGCGTGAATGACCTACCCCGCTTTCGCGTCCAGGCAAAACCCAGTCATACCACGCGCCTCCTCGTCAAGCGGCCTGACCAGTACAGGCCGTATTATGGCATCGCTTGGTATCTCTTGGAAGCGAGGGTGGTCAAAAGCGAGTTAGGTCTGTTTGCCCCCTACACACGGGCCACCCTTCCCTCATTTTCTTGTTTGGGGCCTCCCATGGGAGGCCCTCGTCGCCACTGCTGGAGTCGCCTCGCAATTCTGGTCAGAACGCACCCCTCGGGAGGTCCAGGGAGCAGCGGTATCAGTACCTTGTGGTTTCCCCAGGAGCTCCTGGGCGAGAACTTCGCGTGGCCTCGCCAGGGCGGAGTGCTCCTCTCGAGGGAGAAGCCCCGGCGTAAGCACAAACACTGTAAGAGTTCCGCGCGGATTTCTTGGATCGGCGGCAGCCCCCCCTCCTTCATGGCGGCGCCTCAGGCGGCGCCCATGTCGCGCTCCGTGCGCCAGGGGGGGGTCCAGCGCCGATCCAGGCAGTCCTCGCGGAGTTCCGGAAGTTTGTGCTCATGCCGTTCCTGCTCTTCCTCTGGCTTCTGTGCTCGCGAGGGCTGCGATGGTCGGCTGCGCGCAGGAGTGGCCTCTCGCCGGAGCTGCTTCCTGGTGCGGGCACGCGGGCGCCCCCGGAATGGGTGCAGGGGGCCTCGCTGGCAGCAGCTTGCGCGCTGGGGTTTGGCCCCCCGCGCCCCCCCCGAAGCCGCGCACCAGAGGTCACTCCTGCCCAGGGTTAAACGTCGGGCATGCCCTTCTGCAAGAGGGACCTCACAGAAAAGTCCGAGCACAGTCTGGGGACGATGTCTGGATGATCTTTTGGCCCTTTTGGGGCTGTGTTCTGGACTACAGGCGGCCTGGGTTAGTAGTTTCACCCTGCCAGATCACGGGTACCCTCGTGTCCTGTGTCTCGCGACCCATGCCTCCTGCATTTCTGCGGCAATGTGGCCCTCGGAAGGTTCTTGAGTCCTCTCGCGTGTCCTGTCCAATGGAGTCCGACTGTATTCTTCATCTTCCGCCCACCAGCCGCCCTCAGGGGGACACGCCCGACCCGAGCCCATGGCCACTCCTCGGTGCAGCCGAGATGGTGCGCTCCCTCTGCAGCGCTCGGCGCGCCTGGCGGGCGCCTCCTGTGGCAGCTTCGGGCTGGAGGACCTCGGCTCCCTGGTCGACTGCCTCGACGCCGCGGCGCCGGAGCCCGCCGCCGGGGGCTGGCCGGCTGCGCCGGCGGCGGGTCCGAACCTGGTGTTCCTGCCCGCCGAGTGCGACTTCACGGGCGTGCGTGCGGAGCTGAGAGGAGGACCAAATAATGTTTTTTGAGGCCAACGAGTGTTATTTTTGTTTGGTTTAGGGGTCAAGCAAAATCTTTGGTCTCAAACAAAATCTTTGGTCTCCCCCAAACAAATCTTTGAGTAACCCCCACCTGGGGGTAATGATTGGGTCCTCCCCATCCCCCCCTTCACGACCGAGAGTTGACTAGCCCGGGCCAACACAGGATTGGTCAGTGAAGAGAGGCGGCCGGGCTGAACTTTTTCTGTTATCGCGGGGGAAGGTTGCGAATCGGAGCTGATGTCTTCTTCTGTTGAGCAGCAAGGGTTCGGCGGCGAGCCCAGGGTGGAAGTGAGAGGGGGTAGGCCTTCTCAGAGGGCGGCGGGGCCTCTCAGAAGCCTCCTGGCTTTCCAGGAAGCCGTTCCTGCATCCGTAGATCACCACCCACCAAGACACCCCAACCCAACCCGAATGCCTCAATTTGCCCTCCATTTCCAGTGTGGGGGGGGTCCGGGAACATGGAAAAAAACCATGTGGAGCCCATCCCCCCCAACCCGAAAGTTGGATCTTCGGGTTGGGTTGGTGTGGTCTGGTAGGTAGTCAGTAGAAGACTTCACAGCAGCTTCTCAGAGCCCCGAGGCCTGCCGAGCCTTCTGAGGAGGCCCGCCCCCTCTGCATCCCCCCCCCTGTGTTTGTCGCCGACCGATCCCTCGTGAGCACAGCTGAGTTTTCCTCGAAGTCTGGGACGCACCGCACCAGCGGGAGAAGTCCAGGGTTGCCAGCGGTGCCGGTGCCCTCCTCCTCCCTCCTCTCCTCCTCCTCCTCCTCCTCCTCCTCCTCCTCCCCTCCTCCCTCCCTCCTCTCCTCTCTCCTCCTCCTCCTCCTCCTCCTCCTCCTCCTCCTCCTCCTCCTCCTCCTTCCTCCTCCTCCTCCTCCTCCCTCCTCCTCCCTCCTCCTCCTCCTCCTCCTCCTCCCTCCTCCCTCCTCCTCCTCCTCCTCCTCCTCCTCCTCCTCCTCCTCCTCCTCCTCCTCCTCCTCCTCCTCCTCCTCCTCCTCTCCTCTCCTCCTCCTCCTCCCCTCCTCCTCCTCCTACCCTCCCCTCCTCCTCCCAGGACCTGGGCTGCCTGGCGGCGCTGCGCGCCGGCGCGCTGCGCTGGCGCGTGGCCCTGGACGCCTCGCGCCTGCTGGCGGCGGCGCCGGGCGCCCTCGACCTCCGGAGCTGCCCCGCCGACTTCGTGGTCGTGTCGTTCCACCAGGTCTTCTCGGCCACGCGCAGAGGGGGGAGGGGGGAGGGCTTCTCAGCAGGCGCGGGCCCCATCTGTGGATGCGAGGCCGGCGCCTCCTGAGAAGCAGCCTCTTTCTGAGGAGCCCTCCCCCCTTCCCTTCACCCCTTTGTGCGCACCGCCGACTTTGTGGTTGTGTCGTTCCACCAGGTCTTTAGGATTAAGTCGGGCCTGTCCCTCTACAGGGGGGATCTTGGGATATATATATATATGTATATATATATATATGTTTGGAGTATTGTTTGAACATTTTTTTTTTGTCCAACTCCCCCTGTCAGAGAACATGCCCGACTCATCAGCCCCGCAGCATCACGGGTAACTCGGGTCAGGGCTAATTCGGGTTCGTTTTTCGGGATTCCGAATCCGAGTTACCCGGGGCCCGAGTTACCCCAGATAACTCGGGTGCCCACACAATCCTGGAGGCCTCGCGCGGCGGCTGTATGATTTGGTCCACACGTCTATGGGTCGGCGCTTGCGCGGCGATGCTCTGACGTCAGTCCGACACGAATCCGACGAAGTCTGACGAGAAACCGGCGTCAATCCGACATGGATCCAATGTGAAACGGGTCTCAGCTTGCCGCGCGAAGCCTCCAGGATTTTCTTCATATATCGGAAGCTGATAGATCTCCTACCCTGTCACGTCGATTAGCGAAATGGCCGTTTTCAGTTCGCGAAAGGGCGTCGCGGCCGTCATTTTTGCGGGTCCAGGTCTGTCGGTTTCGGTCCTAGGCCGTTTTCACTAGAGGGTGGTTTACTAAAGGGAGGTTTGTCCACCGCCGAATAGAGGTCTTCGGGTACCCCACCGGCCTGGGCGCCCTGGTCGTGCGCCACGACGCCGCGCCCCTGCTGGCGCCCTCGGCCCCGCGCGGCGGCGCCAGCGGCCCGGTGGGCCCGTTCGGCCCGGCCTACTTCGCGGGCGGCTGCGTGGCAGCCGTGTCCGCCACCTCCAGCTTCGCCGTCGCCCGCCCTGGGCTGGCGGAGTTCAGAGGAGGAAAAGGTACCCCTACCGCTGGCCTCCACCCTTTTTCCCCCTTTTTAGGCGTCCTGGGAGGCCCCCTGTTGCCACCGTTGGATCCGCCTCGAAGTTCTGGTCAGAACGCACCCCGGGAGAGGCCCGTGGAGTAGCGGTATACCGGTACAGTCAGCTCTGATTAGTAGGTCGACCTTGCCAAAACAGGGGTGCCCTTCAGCCCTGTGCCTCGCGACCAATGCCCCCCACATTCTTATGGAAATGTGGCCCTCGGAAGGATCCTGTGTCCTCTCACGAGTCCTGCCCAATCAAGTCCGACTGTACCTTGGAGGGGGAAGAGGAGGAGGAGGAGGAGGAGGAGGAGGAGGAGGAGGAGGAGGAGAGGAGAGGAGGAGGGAGGAGGAGGAGCAGAGGGATGAGCAGGGGAGGAGGGAGGAGGATGAGCAGGGGAGGAGGAGGAGGAGGAAGGACAGGGAGGAGGAGGAGGTGGAGGAGGAGGAGGGAGAGAGGAGGAGGAGGAGGAGGAGGAGGAGGATCTGGTCCCCCCCAGGAGTGGTTGGAGCGGGGCACGCCGCACTGCCAGGGCATCGCCGCCGTGCCGGGCCAGTGGGCGGCGCTGCGGGCGCTGGGCCCCGCGCGCGGCCGCCGCATGCACGCGGCCGCCGTGTGCCGGGAAGCGTACCTGCGCATGCGCGGGCTCCGCGGAAGTCGGGCCTGTCCCTCTGCTTGTCGGGGGAGCGTAAGACCGGGGTTTGCCAGGACTCCTCCTCCTCCTCCTCCTCCTCCTCTCCTCCTCCCTCCTCCTCCCCCTTCCCCTCCTCCTCGTCCTCCTCCCCTTCCCCTCCTCCTCGTCCTCCTCCCCTCCTCCTCCCCTCCTCCTCCTTCTCCTCCTCCTCCGGATCGGCGCGCTGCTCCCGTCGACCACGGAAAGAGGGCGCTCTCTCGCCCCGGCGTGGGCCGCCGCTCTGGATCCGAGTCCTGCCTCATCGTGTCGGGGGAGCGTAAGACCCGGGTTTGCCAGGACTCGGGTTCGCCCTCGTTTTTTGACGGCCGCGCCTCGGATGTTGACGAGGAGGAGTTTCGTGGGATGTCTGCCGCGGGAGGCCTCGTCAAAATGCAGGCTCGGCCTCGTCATTTTTTTGACGACCTCGTCGGGGATTTCCGAGTCCCCCGTAACCGGGTCTTACGTCTCCCCGAACTTGGGGGAGTATTCAGAAATAGTCAAGCAGTAGCCTGGGGGCTGTGCTTGGAGCCTTTTGTTGTGTTTTTTTTGGGCCGTTCGGGAGCATTCTGCGCGTGCGTTTCAGTTTTCGTCGAGGGCCCTCTACTTGTCGGGGGAGCGTAAGACCCGGGTTTGCCAGGACTCGGGTTCGCCATCGTTTTTTGACGACCGCGCCTCGGCTTTTGACGAGGAGGAGTTTCGTGGGATGTCTGCAGCGGGAGGCCTCGTCAAAATGCAGGCTCGGCCTCGTCATTTTTTTGACGACCTCGTCGGGGATTTCCGAGTCCCCCGTAACCGGGTCTTACGTCTCCCCGAACTTGGGGGAGTATTCAGAATAGTCAAGCAGTAGCCTGGGGCTGTGCTTGGAGCCTTTTGTTGTGTTTTTTTTGGGCCGTTCGGGAGCATGCTGCGCGTGCGTTTCAGTTTTCGTCGAGGGCCCCCCCCCTGTAGGGGGACGCGCCGGACTTCAGGCTCCGCCACGCCGCGGGGGGGCGCCCGCTGTGCACCTTCTTCGGCAGGCACGAGCACCCCCGCTGGCCGGTGGCGGGGGCAGCATGCTGGGACCGCCGCCGCCCCCCCCCCCCCCCGGCCCTCTGACGGAGGGCGCGCTCGGGCCACGGCTGCGCGGCGGACCCAGCCGTGGCGCTTCCCCGGAGGCCCCAAAGGGGGCGTCGGAGGCGGCTGGGCCTCCTGCCCTGGCGCGTCGATTAGCGAGTTGGCCGTTTGCGGTTCGCGAGAGAGGGCGTCGCAGCCGTCGTTTTTGCGGGTCCAGGTCCGTCGGTTTCGGCCCTAGGCCGTTTTCATTGAAGGGTGGTTTGCAAAAGGGAGGTGTGTGCACCGCCGAGAGAGGCGGACGCGAGGCGAGGGAAGCGGCATGGGTGCTTTTTCTTTCTCCGAAGATCGGCGGCGCGCCCGGGGGGGCAGCGAGAAGGAGCAGGCCTTCTCAGAAGGCTCGGAAGGCCTCGGGCCTTCTGAGACATGTTTTGTTTTGTGTTTTTTGTTGTTGTTGGTGTGTTTGACTTAGCCGTCCCCGCACGGAGCAGCAGACTCCTCAGACGGCCGCGGGGCTTCCGAGAGCCTCCGCCGCCCTCCGAGAAGGCCGCCCCCCCTCCTCCTCGCTTCCCCCCCCGCTCGCCGCTGACCAGAGGTGCAGGGGCCCACCATCGCCTTCGCGCTGCGCTGGGCCGACGGCTCCGGCGTGCCGCCGGGCTGCCTGGCCGCGCGCGCCGCGGCGCGCGGCGTCGTGCTGCACGTCGGCGGGGCGCCGGGCCGCCCGCGGGCCGGGCGGTGGGGCCGCGGGCCGTGCCGCTGCGGCGGGCCGGGGCCGCGCGGCTGCCGCTGCGCGGCGCCGCAGGTCAGCAGCTTGCAGCCTGCGCAGCCCCCACAGTCTCAAGTCGGGCGTGTCTGGGGAGCATATATATACATACATACACACATACGTATGTATAAACACACACATCTATGCATATATACATGCATAGTGCGTATATGTACACCTATATCGTTTAAACCGAGTGTATTTCGATATATGTGCATGTATATAACTGTGAGTAAAAAGTGAAGCTAGAAAGACATACTCACACAAACAAGCAACAAACCAGATGATTGTGTTTTCGTCCAAAATCCGTCTGTAGGAGGACATGCCCGACCTAAACACAGTCAACCTGCACAGGAAGGACTAGCGACTTCCGAGGCTACACCTGCATGCGTGTCCCGTCGGGCCATTCTTGGGAACTTTCGCTGGCCAGCCTCCTTCGAAAAGCGTTGGCATGGCCCTCCAAGGCCCTTGCATCCTTCTCGTGCGGCCTTGTGGTATGCGTGTTGACTGTATCCCCATTGGTCAGTATCGTTTGACCGATCCCCATCCCCATCCCCACTTCGATCCCCACCACTCCGCCACCCCAGTTGGAGACATACCCCTCGAAGCCAGACGGAGACAGCCTGTCATTTCCATCCGGGGAGGTCGAATCAGCCGGCGGGAGCCAGGCCACGCCAGTGGGGGCAGGGACCAGTTCGACGATGCTCCAACGGGCCTGCCTGCCTCGGCGAACCCCCTCCTCGCGATCGCCTCTCTGGACCTCCTGGGAGGCCCTCGTCGCACGGCCGCACTGGCCGGGACGCGCCCCCGGAGAGGTCCGGGGAGTGGCCTTATCGGTGTCTGTCGGTTTTTCCAAGGCCATGGCCTATCTCAGCCTATCTCAGCCCCGCCAGCCAGTCCACCATCCTGGGTGGGGAAATGCTCTGCGGAGCCCGAAGGAACAGGCATCTATCTAGTATCGAAGACGCCTACGGCGAATCACCGCCGCCCCCTGCCTTTTTGGAAGCGCCTATGTGGCCGAACGTTGAGGCCAGACCTGCCAAGCTATCGGACCACGTGTTCCCCGAATCGGTTTGGAAAGCCTTCGGGGAACACGTGGGCATCTTGAAGGTCATCTTGGCCGTCTTGGAGGCCTCTTGGGCAAGCTTTGGGCGATCTTTGGGGCTTTTTGGGCCGTCTCGGGCCAGCTTCGAGCCAACTTCGGCCATCTTGGTGGGTTCCTGGCACGTCTGAAGCCGTCGGAAGCCGTTTGGGGGGCCTCTATGGGCCGACTTGGGGCCCGCTTGGAATGCTCCAGGGCCGTCTTGGAGGCCATCTTGGGCGTCTGGGAGGCCATCTTGGGCGTGTTGGAGGCCTCTTGGGCCCTCTTGGGGCCCTCTAGGGGCCATCTTGGAGGCCACTTGGGCCATCATGGGGCTCTCTTGGGGGCCTCTTGGGCGATCTTGGGGGCTTCTTGGGCCGTCTCGAGCCGTCGGAGAGCCGAAAAGGCGCAAATGCCAGAATCCTTCAAAAACCAATGAAAAATCAATGATTTTGGCCTCTTCGGACTCTCCTGGAGGACCTCTTGGAGGCCTCTTGGGCCGTCTGGGAGGCCTCTGGGGGGCCTCTTGGGCCGTCTTGGGCCGTCTTGGACTCTCTTGGGCCATCTTCGAGGCCGTCTTGGACCATCTTGGACGGCCTTGGGTGCGATCTTGGACCATCTTGGAGGCATTTTGGAGGCCATCCTTGGGCCGTTTTGGAGGCCGTCTTGGACCATCTCGGGCAGACTTGGAGGCCATCTTGGGCCATCTTCGCGATTTTTTGAGGATATCCCCAGCGAAACGGCCGTTTTTTTGGAGGATTTTTTTCCGGATTGAGGTCCTTTCGGCTTCCTCCCTGGACCCCGGCGGGACGGGCCGGAGCCCACTGGGGAGTTCTTTTAGAAAAAGAACCAAAACCAAAACCAGCTCATCCAGCACGCCGTGCACCCCTGCAAGCAGGGGGCGGCGGATCTAGTGGCCTGCGGCACATCCCGCCACCGTGCCTTGGTAGTGGACCACAGTCTTCATGCATGCGTGCTTCGTGGCTTCGAGGGTTCTCTTTTCCGATTGCTGTCGGGCGCCTCTGGAAGCATGGGAGCCTCTTGGGATTTGTTTGGAACCTCTTAGGGCTTCCTGGGGGGCACTTTGGGGCCTCTTGGGGGCTTCTTGGCTGTTTCTTGGGGCCTCCCAGTGGGCCTCTTGGGGCGGTGAACTCGACATGTGGGCTCGTGTTCCCCCCGTGAGGCCCTTTATGGGGCATTCTTGGGGCTCCTTTGGCCGTCTTGGAGGCCTCTCGGGCCGTCTTGAGAACCTCCTGGACTGTTCGGGGGTGGACAGACCTCCTACCCTGACACGTCGATTGAGGAACTGGCCGTTTTCGGTTCGCGAGAGGGCGTCGCGGCCGTCATTTTTGCGGGTCTAGGTCCGTCGGTTTCGGTCCCAGGCCGTTTTCACTAAGGGGAGGTCTACGAAAGGGAGGTTTGTCCACCGCCGAACTGTCTCGGCGCCTTCTTGGGGGCCTCATACTTCTTAGGCCGTCTGGAGGCGATCTGTGGGACCTCTCTTGGCCCGTGGGGCCTTCTGAGGGCCTCTTAGGCCGTCTGGGGGCAACATCTGGGGCCTCTCAGGGCCGCCTTGGAGCGTCAGGATGCGGAGAAGATAGGGAACTGAACATGTATGAGAAGACATGGGGAACTCAATGGATGTTGCCGCTTGGGGCCCTCGTGAGTGCTCTTGGACGCCTGTGGGCGCGTCTTGGAGGAGCAGGGGGCCGTCTGGAGGCGTCTTGGAGCGATCTTTCGGCGAATCTGCGCCCTCTTGAGCCCCTCTTGGACGGCAAGAGCTCCGCAGACTCCTCTTGGTCGGCAAGAGCTCCGCAGACTCCTGGGAACTTCCGGGACCTCCCAGGAGCGCCTGGGAGAGCCGGGGCCAGGCTCTGAACAACAGCTCCCTACCAGCCTCGAACGTATCCCTATCCCTAAGATTGACACGCCAACCGGCGATGACAATCCTAGGGACTCGCCCTCAAAAAAGAAGGGAACCCCTAAGATTGGATCGTGATGAGGAGGTGCCCAGCATAGGGATAGGGATATGTTCCAGGCTGGTAAGATTGTACCTGGGACCTCGGCTTGTTGGCTGGGCTGACAGGTCGGCTGGCTGGCTTGTTGGCTGCTCGGTGGCTGGGTGATCCGCCGTCCTTGGCATCGCTCGGACGTGTGCATTTTTCTTTCGGCGGGGACCATCGAGGAGCATCCTTGCAGCATCCTTGCAGCTCCAGGACCATCTATTTTTCTTCGGTGAGCTCCAGGGAAGTCCCGGGCGCTCCCGAGAGCTCGCATTGGGGCTCTCGGGCATATGCCGGGCAGCTCCGGGAGCGGCGGGGGGAAAGCGGGGGTCACGCCCTGCCCTCCCGCTGCCCCCATCGGGTCCCAGGACGCGCTCGCCTCTCAAGGCTCGCGGGCTGCAGGAGCCATGGAGGAGGAGGAGGAGGAGGAGGAGGAGGAGGAGGAGGAGGAGGAGGAGGAGGGGGAGGAGGAGCAGGAGGATGAGCAGGAGGAGGAGGAGGAGGAGGAGGAGGAGGAGGAGGAGGAGGAGGAGGAGGAGCAGGAGGAGGAGGAGGAGGAGGAGGAGGAGGAGGAGGAGGAGGAGGAGGAGGAGGAGGAGGAGTGCACTCCACCATGCGAGCGACGCGCAAAAGAACGGAGTCGGCGGCGGCGCCGAGGTTGGCGCGCGCGTGGCCCGCGTGAGGCCGCGCGTCAAAGCGCCTTCGGTCCCTCTGTAGCGCTCCTCGCTCGCAGCCCGCGTGAGCCGCGGCGTGAGGTCGCCACGTCACCTCGTGCAAGTTCGGGCGAAGAGGACTAACCGATCCTGTCGAGGCCCATCCTTGACCCAGAAAGGGCTTTACAATCTGTTATTCTCCCCGCCAGAGCCCCGAACTATGCACGTGCACCGATCCTGGCAAGGCCCTTCCCTGACCCAGGATCGGTGCGTATGCCTTCCTGGCCAAGGTAGGAGGGCGTATGCACCGATCCTGGGCTCAGGAGGGGCCTGGCCAGAATCGGTGCATGTGCATAGCTCTCTTTCCTCTCTAAGTCCCGCTTCTCTTCGTCGGCCACGTGCTGAAGGCACGATGGCGGATCTTCGCCGGTGGGTGGGCAGGTCGGCCAGCGGGGCCGAGGCCACGCCAGTGAGGGGCCCCGTCGACATCGCTCGGACGTGTGCAGTTTTTCCTGGCGAGGGCCATCGAGGAGCGTTCTGGATCATCCTGCGGAGAAAAAACGCGCAGTGCACCGCCAAAAACGCACAGGGAATGGGCGTCCGAGCGATTGCCGGCGGGCTCGGTTCAACGATGCTCAGCAGGGGTGGCCAGCCGCGGCGGCCAGCGTGTCCTTCGGCCTGCTCTCGACGCTGCAGGACGTGGGCCGCTGGGTGACGCTGCTGCGGGAGGAGTTCCTGGACCGCTCGGCGCCCCCAGCGTCAGGTCGGGCGTGTCCCCCTACAGGCGGGTGTGGGATGAAACATAAAAAAAGAATTCAAACAAATAGTCAACACATGCGCCAAAATAGTCGAACATCGTCTCCTACTTCGATTATTTTGATCATTCATCTTGTAGAAGTGAGTACTTTTGCTTATTTGACTAATCTTTGATATTCATCTATTTTGACTATTTTTGATTATTCATCTTGACTATTTTTGATTATTCATTTTGTAGAATGACATGCCCGATTTAACCCTGGCGGCAGGCGCCGCCACCGGCCCGGCGCCAGCCACCGAGGCGGAGGCGGAGGCGCCGGCGCAGGTGGCGCTGCCAGGGCGGAGCGCCTCGGAGGTGGTGGAGAAGGTGCGGAGGGCGTCGAGGAGGAAGACCATCGTAAGAATAATGCTCGGGGGCGGAAAAGAGGGGGGTGATGACTTGGGGGGGGTGGATATCATGGCGGGGGCCATGATATTTCCCCAGATTTCATGGCGCTTCTTCTTATTTCATTGCGTCCCTGGCCCCCCCGCTGGGCCGCGCACATGCCGCCGGTCATGATTTGCACACCCCCCTCTTGGACACCCCCCTCTTGGCCGCTCCCGAGAGAAGAAGGGGCATATTGTTAATCATCGTCATCATCAGGAGAAGGACAACACTAATCATACGATCGATCAGAGAAGAAGGTGCGGAGCGCGTCGAAGAAGAAGAAGAAGGTGCGGAGGGCGTCGAGGTAAAACGACGCGAAGATCGGGACAAAATCGGATCGGGATAACTCGAAATCTCTGAGAAGCGGCGGGTTTGGAGGACGTATTGGGCGCCGCGGCCGCTCCAGAGCGTTCCTGAACGCTCTGAGACCGCTCCGGAACGCTCTGGAGCGATTTATCCCGATCCTAGCCCTGTTTTACGAGGAGGAAGACCATCACAAGAATAATGCAACATATGAGAAGAAGGGGCATATTTTGAATCATCGTAATCATCAGATGAAGGACAACACTAATCATTCTATCAATCAGAGAAGAAGGTGCGGAGCGCGTCGAAGAAGAAGAGGGTGCGGACGGCGTCGAACAATAATTAGCACACTGATAGTATTACGTCCTTGCTAACGCGCTGCGTGTTGGCTCAACGTCTTGCGGCCCATGTTTTGGCGATTGCATCGCGACAACAACGTACGTTTTTAATCTACGAGTTGAGCTGGTCCCGAAGATGCTTCCCGTTCGGAGCTGGCTGGGGGTCGCAGGTGGCCCAGCATTGGTTCCGGCCAGCACAGGGAGGAGGTTCGAGGTTTAGGGGAGCGTTTTCGACGAGAGGCGATAGCCAGCTGGAGCAAGGGCAAGTTAAAAAACCCTGCTGACCTCTCTCGTCGCGGAAGGTGGCCCACGGGCCCCACGGTTATCCGTGAGTTGTCCCGTGTGGTTGTCCCTCGATAGCGCCGTGGTTGTCCCGCGGTCGTTCCGTGGTTGTCCCGTGGTTGTCCCGCGCGGCTGTGCTTCCAGGGGCATCAGGGTTGCCGCGAGGGGCTTCCCAAATGCTTCCATACGCTTCCTCGTGTCCATTTTGGCTCACGCTATTTTACTTCAGGCTGGCTTTCAGTATTTTAGCCTCATCTGCGCACTCCGCACACTCATTTCTACGGCAGCTGTTTGCTCCATTTGCAGATGGCGCATGTCATTTTGTTCGCCAGCCTGTTCGTGGCCAGCGGCGTGTCCAGCCTGGCTTTTGCAGTTGACGTCGAGCTGATGCAGATGTCGACAACGGGCACGAATGCTTCGAGGCAGTCTTTATCGGCGTCCTCGGCAGTCGTGTCCCACACTGCTGCTGGTCTGAAGTCGTGGCTGTGCACGCTGATCAGCGGTGCTACGGCTGACGAAGTGAAAGCACTGTGCAATGAGTTCCAGGACCCGTTCTGCACCGGCACTGAAGAATGTCCGCCAGGAGCAAAATGTCCAGAGAAATTTGTACATGGCTTCTTGACAGAAGCAGATAAGGACGCGACCTTTGCCAAGTACCCCGCGCTCATGGTCACATGCGAAGAGGACTCGTGTTGGAAGAACATCCCATCATCGGGGGAACAACAAGGTATTGATACCGCAACTCCCCAACCTCTCCAAGGGTGTGTTCTGACCAGGATTCCGAGGCGAATCCAGCCGTGGCGACGAGGGCTTCCCATAAGGTCCAAAATGGTGTAAATGAAATCGGTATGCGTATCTCCTCCGACCCAAGGTTCAGCTGAACGTGCAAACTGTTGCCTGCGATCGCCGACTGGCCTCGTCGAGTGCCCCTTTGAACACCGCCGCCCTCGCGCTCCCGTGTTCCATGAGGCACTCGCCGTGGGGCCTTGCGGGAGCTACCGGAGAACACCCCAGGCAACACCACTGTTCCCCAAGCGGTGCTGCCCCTTGGAGCATGGCCTTAGAGCCGGGTCTGGGGGTGCGCGGGTCTTCCGTGCGCGTAGATCAAAACCGCGGGATGCGCCTGGGGATGCGATGAGTTCGAGTGGCCGTTAGTTGCCAATGAGATGAGGGTTGTGCCACATAGGCTGTGCCCATGGGTTGAGGGGGTGCGAGGCTTTCGGGTGGCCATCGGTTGTGCCGCTCATGGGTTGCGACTGGGGGGGCGAGGAGTTTGAGGTGCCATCATGGCTTGTGACCCGTGGGTTTCGCTGATTGTTCGTGGCCGTAGCTTTCGCCTTTGATGATGACGAGCCTGACGATTGCGCCGGCAACGGCGACACCGACGTTTGCGTAGCAATTGTTATCCGGCTGTTTGTTGCACACCCCGCCACCGTGCCTGTGCAACATCGCCGCAGGAACGAGGCTGGCTGCAGGAACAGCGCAAGTCCAACGAGTAGTCTGCACTAGGGCGTGTCGTGATACCGACCTCGTCTTCGTCTGCGCGATAGGGAGGAGGAAGACGATGATACTGATGTTGATGATGATGATGATGATGATGATGATGATGATGATGATGATGATCATCATGTTGATGTTTCTGATGATTGCGATGAAGAGTAATAGTATGATGATGATGATTATGCTGATGATGATGATGATGATGATGCTGATGATGATGATTATGCTGACGCCGATGATGATGCTGATGCTGATGATGCTGATGATGCTGATGATGATGCTGATGCTGCTGATGATCATGTTGATGGTGCTGCTGATGATGATGCTGCTGCAGGCGCTGATGCTGCTGATGACAATGATGATGATCATGGTGATGGTCATGGTGATGGTGATGGTGCTGACAATGATGATGATGATGCTGCTGATGCTGATGCTGCTGATAATCATGTTGATGCTGATGCTGTATGATGTTGATGCTGATGCATCTGGTCTTGCTGCCGACGACGATGCTGATGATGATGATGATGATGATGAGGAGGCTGCTGCTGATGATGCTTATGATGGTGCTGATGTTGATGATGCTGATGATGCTGATGATGATGATGATGATGACGATGATGCTGCTGATGATGATGATGATAATGCCGAGGACGATTATGCTGATGCCGAGGACGATGATGATCATGATGCTGAGGAGGAGGAGCAGGAGGAGGAGGCGGAGGGGGAGGGAGAGGATGAGGAGGAGGAAGAGGAGCACGAGGAGGAGGAGAAAGAGGAGGCGGAGGCGGAGGATGAGGAGCAGGAGGAGGAGGCGGAGGAGGAGGAGGATTAGAGAAGTTTGAAGGAGGAGGAGGAGGAGGAGCAGGAGCAGGAGGAGGAGCGGAAGGACGAGGAGGAGGAGAAGGAGGAGGAGGAGCTGGAGAAGGAGGAGCAGAGGAGGAGGAAAAGGAGCACGAGGAGGAGGAGAAAGAGGAGGCGGAGGCGGAGGATGAGGAGCAGGAGGAGGAGGCGGAGGAGGAGGAGGATTAGAGAAGTTTGAAGGAGGAGGAGGAGGAGGAGGAGCAGGAGCAGGAGGAGGAGCGGAAGGACGAGGAGAAGGAGGAGGAGGAGGAAGAGGAGGATGCGGAGGAGGAGGAGGAGGAGGATGAGGAGAAGGAGGAAAGGGAGGAGGAGGAGGAGGAGGAGGAGAAGGAGTAGAGAGAGAACATGGGGTTGAGGGGGGGAAGCTTCTTGAGGCCTTCTTGGGGCGTCCTTGTGTCTTCCTGGCGGCGCCCTGAACGCTTCTTGGGGACCTCGTGGGGGCCTCTTGGGGCCTCTTTGAGGGTACGCTTCTTGGGCCGCCTGAGGGTACGCTTGGCCAGTCTGACGCCCATGGCGGCTGCCTTTGCGGCCTCTGGGACGCGTTGGTGCCATCTATGAGCGGTTCACGGACGCCTTGGGGCCCTCTTGAGAATTTGTTAGGCGATGATTTTGCCCTCTTGGGCCGATGCTGGGCCCTCTTGGGGGCCTCTTGGGTTGCCTTGGGGTTACCTTAGACGTCTCCTGGACGCCTCCAATGTCGTTCCCAGATGATGATGCTGCTGGTGATGCTGATGCTGAGGATAGTGATGCTGTTGCTGATGATTGCGATGCTGATGACGCTGATGCGGTTGCTGCTGCTGCTGATGAAGATGTTGCGGTTGATGATGATGGTGTTGGTGGCGACGACGACGCCGCTGCTGCTGATGATGCCGATGAGGAGGCTGCTGATGATGACGATGGCGATGCTGCTGATCATGACGGCGAGAGGCGAGTTTGATAATGATGATGCCGATAGGGGGTTGTTGTTGTTGTTGTTGTTGTTGTTGTTGTTGTTAATGATGATGCTGATTCTGGTGCTGATGCTGGCTCAGCTGCTGCTGATGAGGTTGCCAACGACACTGCTGATGAGGATCACGGCGCTGATACAGATGATGACGACGCAGACAACGATTGTGATACTGGTGACGACGATGCTGCTTACGCTCATGATGTTGCTGATTCTGATGATGCTGATCATGGTGATGGTGAGGGTGATGCTGCGTCCGATGATGAGTATGGTGAGGATGCAGATGAAACTGATGTTTGTGCTGGTACAGTATGATGTTGACGCTTGTGCATCTGCAGTTGCTGTCGACGACTATGCTGATGATGATGACGATGATGACGATGATGCCGAGGATGATGATAATGAGGCTGCTGATACTGATGATGAAACAGATGGCGCTGATGCCGCTGGTGATGCTGTTGATGATGCTGATAATTATGGTGTTGGTGTTGATGGTGGTTGTCATGATGATGATTCTGCTGAGTATGATGGGGATGGTGGTGGTGGTGGTGGTGGTGGTGGTGATGGTGACGATGACGAGAACGCTGATGCTGATGATACTGATGATGATGCTGACGATGGTGACGATGATGATGATGATGCTGATGCTGATGTTGATGCTGATGCTGCTGATGATGATGATGATGATGATGCTGAGGATGCATATTCAA